ATGAACTTTTACCGTTGAAGGAGCTTTTTAGGTTTGTTTTTTGTACCAGTTGCATTTGACATTTGCAAGCCCATTGCTTTATAAGCTCTCATTTCTTTATTGGTATCAGCGTATCCCCAGCTGAGACTATTAAAATCGCCAATGACTATTCTCGTATTTTGGGGGCTTTGTAAACTTAAATGTTGTATTTGGCGGTTTGTATATTGGGGATATTGTGATATTTCCCAGGTTTACAGTGAATATGTTTTATATTGTCTTCGTCCATTTTGTGTACTGATTCGACATTTAACTCTGACCATACTCAACACTGCCATACTTGTTGTGTGGACGTCGACCTATTATCTTCATGTTAGTTATAGATGGGCTATGGTCGTATTCATTTCGGTTGGTTTCCTGTGATCACAATACATCTACATTGAASTGCTTCACCAAATKTGATATTATTTTTTCTTTCTCCGATGTCAGTCTCTCAATATTAAGTGACATCGTCGTAAGATATTGTCCTGATAAGGTACGTTTTGGGTGGTTTTGTCGACCGGTGGATGAAAGATTTTGTACGTATCCGTTCTTGATCAAGCTGCTGTCGTTTTCCAGGGGGCTCCATGTGGAGGTTCTTTCAATGCCCCCTACAAAATTTTTAAACAATCATAACAAAATGCCATSAATAATCATTATTTTTACTATTAAAAATAGTACTATTGCGAAAAACGCGAATTTGTTATAGCCTWRTAGGTTACTTTTCACGTGATGATGACGACGTCGGACCGCTGACAATCGAAATCATGAGGTTTCAGCGACTTTTCGTAGGCGAAAAAAGTGTCGTTCGAACTGTTTCAATTTGATTACCACTGCGATGATGCCGCGCGTACTATTTATTGCGAGTAGTGCGAGTTTGTTGTACGGTACTTTTGGCGTGACCATGACAACGTCAGAACGCTGACATAATTAAACTCAGCGCGTACTTCGAACTATTGTAAGTAACTCGGATTTGTTATAGATTACTTTTCGCGTGAAGATGACGACGTTGGACCAATGATAATCGCAATCATGCGGTTTGTGCGACTTGTCGTAGACGAAAGAATGTAGCTATTGAACCGTGTCATTGTGTCAATTGTATTACCACTGCGAAGATGCCATACTATTAAGACTAAGAGTAACGCGAGTTTGTTGGTTTGTTGTACGTTACTTTTCACGGGATTAACACGACGTCGGACCGTCGACATAATTCATCACAGAGCACACACCGTGCTATTAAGAGTAACGCGAGTTTGTTGTACGTTACTTTTCGCGTGACCAACA